GCTATTGAAATATCGTATTCTGCGGCAACGCAAGCAGAAAATTATCGCGCGATAATTATGCGATAACTGCCTTATGCGATGCCGTATTTATGCGTTTTGGACACATTGGGAAATGAAGAGCGCAATTGTGTAAGTTGTAAATGTGAAATCGTAAAATGAATCAATTCTCCTTATCCAATTCTCCTCATTCAGATCTTCTCTCGTGTGTCAATTCCCATTCGGCAAAGTCGCCAATGAAATTGAATTGCTCAATTAGATGACTTGCAAATATCATCCGAATGATTTATTTGAATACGTTTGTGTGTGAATGGTGTCGAAATTGAATCGAATTGATTTAAACGAGTTCAAAGTGGTTGGAGAATCCAACTTGGAGTCCACATTCCATGTGGACATGATGATATGTAAAAATCCGCTTTCGAATGCATGATTCGCAGCGCAAATAATGATTAATTCATCGATCAATAGAAAAAAATATTAACAAGGCTCGCAAAAAAATGTGTTTACGTTTTTCAATGCTGTGATCGCGTTCATGTTGGTATTTCGATGAAGTCGATCAAAAATCCAGTCACGATTCGTGTTCATGAATTGGATTCTTTGTTAGCAGCGCAGACCGAAGTAAGGAATTACATTGAAAAGCAAAGCAAATTAAATCGAAACTAAAAGCGCGCAAAAGCGTTGTTTGCATCGTACGAAAACTGAATATTAACCATTTAATTCGCGATGTAATGTCCATTGTAATAGCTTTACGCCGAGAACCGTTGAAAGTCGCCTCTATTTTGGTCACCATCAACAAAACGAGCGCAGCATTCTATTTTTGTGTTGAAAACAATGGGCTCTTCTGTATACGTTTAATGAAGCTGATTTATTCTCGGGAGAGCATAGAACGACGGCCATCGTCGCTTAAAAATGGAATTTTAAACGATGTGTCTCTGTCTCTGGCGTTGATTTGCTTTATTGAATTAGTGCGCTGGTTAAATTGATAGCGGACAATCGTCGTCGCTATTGCGCCGATCCAGGCAAAACTGCAACCAATTGAGAGAGAGAGAGAGAGAGAGAGAGAGAGAGAGAGAGAGAGAGAGAGCAAATGCGACACAATTGAATTCGATTAAATTAAATTTGTTGACTCGATGATTTTAACAGCGTTTGCTCGCTTGATTTGATTTTATCTGCTTTGTTATTACATTTTGGCACATGATTCTTCAATTGCATCAAATGGAATATTTATTCCGAGGCAGAGAGATAAAGAGAAGTGTTTGTTGAAACAGACACTATTTTTTCGAGCAGAAATCGGAATTGGTACGACGACAACAACATTTGACTCAAGAAATGTTTGTCAACAAACGGTCGTTTCATTAACGCTCAGAATTTCGAC